GTTAAATAAAAATGAGACAATGAAAAACGATTGAATAAGGCAAGTATAAAAGCGATTAATCGTTCTTACGTTACACATAGTCAATACTTGAATAACTGGGTCGTTATTCAGAGACTTTCGCCCTTTTCAACACACCTATTCTCCGTCTCGCGTCCCCGTCCGTCCGTCTCTCCTCGTCCGGAACGCTATCTGTAAAACGTACTATTCATTGAGTTGAGAAGTTAGGCTGAAATCAAGGTGGAACTCTATTAAGTGTCCGATGATTAGAGGACGATGATAAAAATGAATCATGTTCGTTCGACACTCATGAATATGGTGTTAATGTTGTTGCATAACCCGTTGTCTGTCAAACATACTTGCCAACCTTTAGACCTCAGAAATCGGGAGCATTTCAAAATGCAAAATTGGGGGGGGTGCTAGTGGATCGCCGAAGCTGTTAGATTAACATTAACATGCTTATTGTAGTTGTAAGTGCACTGCCTTGCTGCCTGTAGCACCGTCCTTGATGGAGCATATGTGTGGGCTGGACCTGTATTTTACAGGAAAGGAGTGAGCAGAGATTAGAGTAGTTGTCGATTCTTGTTCGGTTTTCTGTGAATATCTGCCTCACCCTCTCAGACTTTGAGTTGTGCGCGCTACTAAAGAGACGTGTTACCATGGAAACCAAACAATGGTGTAGCTGTATTAAAGTCCGAGTGGAAACAGTCGTGTGTAAATCTGATTTTCTCAGAAATCGGGAGAAATGCGGGAGAAATATGACCCCGGGAGGAAACCGGGAGAGGGCAATGAAATCGGGAGTCTCCCGCGAAAATCAAGAGGGTTGACAAGTATGTTGTCAACTAACCATTCAGAAACGTCCTGCTGCAACCGAGATGTTTGCACCTCCACCAAAACCTCCGCTGCTTCAGGGTCAGTTTCTGGATCAAATTGATAATATGCTTGAACACATGCATTGCTCTGAGATGACATGTTTATTCCGCACTCGTAATCACAGCAAACATGGTAACGTGACTCTCGCCGGCTCATGCCCCCCTCTTCTGGTCAGCTGCTGCGCAGAATTTTCAAACACAGGCTTGGAATAGAGCGAAAATGAGCGAAACGAGGCATGGCTAAAAAATGATCTGTTTGGTATTTTGAAAAATAAAATGTATAAATGTACCTTTTATATAGGTATGGTCATACACTATATCATTTAAATATAGCATGATAGGTCTCTTTTGTCTAGTTTCTGAACAGATATGAAGAGCTGTGAGCTCTGAGTGCTAAGAACTAACGGCTGTGTTGTTTTTCTGGGGCTCTCATTGAAGATGACGTCAACGGCTCCGCCTACACTGCGTTACTATAGATACTACCCCAGTTCCTAAACTGTAATGGAAATGCGCCATAAAGTGAGCCAGTCCTAACGAGGCCTAACCATGCCGAGCGAGGCAGTGTAGTGGAAATGCGCCATAAGTCTTTAGGCTGAAACACACTGTTATCCTGCGTCTCTCCTCATGGCTGTGTTTTTTTCTGCAGGAGCGAGAGGGAGAGCTACGAGCCATGGCACGCAAGATACGGATGAAGTAAGAACCTGTGTGTGTGTGAACGGGCGGTTTGGTATGTGTGTGTTGCAACTGTCTGACCCAGAGGCTCTGTGTTCAGGGAGCGAGAGAGACGTGAGAAGGAGAGGGACGAATGGGAGAGACAGTACGGGCGTCAGAGCCACTCGCCTTCCCCTTCCAAACATGGTGAGACACAAACAGCCATATGTATCTGATAATAATTTGGTTTAGTGCCTTGTTTATAGAAGAAACGATCAGCTAAGCCTCTGTCGGATTTTCTACTGTCAGTTTCTGCTCTGACAGTTTTATGGGCTGTAATACGTTCTGCCATGCGTTGTTTTCACGGTGTCTTGTCCTCTGTCCCTGCAGGCCGAGAGCACAGCTCACACAGAAGGTATGCGAGAAGCCGCAGCAATCCCAGCTCCGATGAAGCAGAATGAATTATGGGAGTCTTTCACGTTAATGCACATTCACTTATCCCAAGGCTCATCACCGTGCCTTTTTATATGCAACACTAATGCTACTTGGCTTTTTCTTCACTCAGATCAAATCAGTGTGTAAGGTGTTAAGAGAGAAACTGGAGCAATTCTTCAGTAAAAGTGAATTCCTGAGTCAAAGAAAATACCTCAAATGATTCACTGCAATTAATTTCACCCTTCATCAGAACTTCAGCTCATTCCTTAGTATTATTTTATGAATCACATTAAGATATGTCAGTTTCAAAGAAGACCTCAAGTAGACCGGACTCCATGTTAAAGTCAGTGAAGGAAAAAGAAAATTCATTTTGGAATTTAAACATTCTTAAAGAATCCATAAACTTATTTGAAATGTCTACTAAAATAAAAAATATAATTTTGACTTAAAGGTGGGTTAGGTAAGTTTGAGAAACCGGCTCGAGATACACTTTTTGTTATATTCCATGGAATGCTCTTAACATCCCGATAGCAATGAATATCTGAAGTGCTTTGACAAAAAATCCATAAAACATGTCCTCTGTGGAAGCCGTAGTGCTGTAAAAAGCACGACCAATCATTTTAGCCGGCCCGGCTAAAGTAACCGGATGGCCTACCTGCCTGTCAGCCTTCCATCTGTGCACAAACTCATCTCGTGCCCTCATTGGTCATGTGCGCGTTCGTGTGTGTTGGAGGAGGGGCTCTGTAAGGAAGTGGCAGATTTTTTCTGGTTGTGTACTTTCAAATTCTAGCGCACTCAAGCTGGTTTCTCCAAAATTACCTACCCCACCTTTAAACGGAAATTGTACTTCAGTAAATCTTAATTTCATTAAAGCCACAATATCTGGATCTTCACATATAAACTAAAGCGATCCCCAACCAGGTTCAGTTCCCAAACTGACCCGTTTTTATACTCCGTAACACCAAGCAAGTCAGTCTAAATGATTGATGTTTATTGACGCTGCTAAAGGCTTTTTTATATCAGCAACGTTTGTCTTTATATTAGATTATGATCAGTTGATTAAAAAAAAAAATGCTTCTTTTTGAAACTTTAAGACTTTTAGGACAAGAAATATACACTTACACATTTCTGTATGATGTTAGTCAGATTGAGCTTCTCTCACTTTTGTACTTATTGTTATTTTATCTTTTTACAGGAGGTCTCGGTCCCGGTCACAAAGTCCACCCTACCGATACTGAGCGGAGGGAACATGGACGCCTCCTACAGTCCCTTCAGTACACATATTCTAACAAACGGCCAACAAACGTGAAAAGATGGAGTGGTCATGATACCAACCTTTACTTGAACACTCTGTCCTCTGGTATGTGTCCACAGATATAATATTTGGACTGTGATACCTTTTACTTTCAGTTATCAAAGCCAATTGGTTCAGCGGAACAGAGTTTGATCTGCCCTTTTCATTTTTGATTCAACTTGTAAAAAGTCTTCAGCTTTAATAAATGAGTTTCTTCTTCTGCATGCTCCTTTCTTCTTTCTCTGCCTGAACAGTTCTCAACTCGTCTGGAGTTGTTGATTTGTATTTCAATGTACATAATAAGCAACATCTCACCTTTTCACCTCACATCGTCTCCACGTCAGCCTTAATTTTTATTTCTTCGACAAGCTCACACTACAGAACATTTTAACAACCTCTCAAGAGCCGATGTACAGGATATTTATACTTATCCATTTAAAACGTCTTTATTAAAGGAAACAAACTCCCTGTATAAAGTCAAACTTTATCCAGCACTCCTTTTATACTCTGTCCTCTGCTAACCGGTTTACAGAAGCATATAGCCTTTTGGTTTTCAGCAAAATGGAATGTAAAATATGGAACAATAAATAAAACTCACTTTGAAACTATTTGTTCATTTCCCTTTTTTTCCTATTCGAAATCTTAGTTTTTTTTTTGTAAAGCTTGTACCGAAAGAAATAATATATTTTTAGGATTAGTAAGTTATTTTGGTTTTGTATACCTTATATATTTTAGCATACGTTGGTCATAATTGTTTTATTATCCCGGGACTACTTTGCTCAATACATTTGTTGAACAACAAGCAGCTAATATCTTATTTGTATCCGCAGCTAACGGATAATATCAGTTATGTGAATGAAAGCCTTACACTTTGTGATAAATACAGAGAACCCTAGTAAAAAAAACACTTCGAAACAAACAAAATAGGACTAATAAAAGGCACCCACTAGGAAGCACGACATTAAAAGCAGACAGTTCATCAGTAAAAGCTCACTTTCTCAATGTATTCCCATCAGTAGGTGGCGACAAATCTCAGTCTCTCAGCGAAAGATGCTTCACTGCTTCTTCTCACTGTCCATCTGTAATACTCAATTCAAGTCATTTTGTGACACTTTGCTGTCACAACAAGAAAAAGAGAAATGAGAGCTCGTATAGCACTAGTTTGGTAATTGAGACACCTGTGGGAAACCAAACCAGGTAGTTCCTCTGAGCTGCTGTGGAGGAACTAAATGTGAATTCCCACTATCTATCGGATGTGAAAACCTTGATTGAAACAAAAACAGTGCGTAAAAGAGAACAAGTCTTAAAGTGAAAGAAGGAGTGTGTTACCCGAGGAGGGCGGGGTCAGGGTCGCGGGGCGGGCGGTGCTACAGTCCGCCTGCTGCGGGGAAGACGCGTGAACTTGAACGCAGCCTTCAGTGCGATCTGAAGCAGAGGCCAGGCGGTGTCTCAGTGTCTGTCCCCCCGGTCGGGATTCGGTCAACTTATCGAAGCAGGCGGATCTTTGCTTTGGAGGGTTTGTGGTTCGGGAAGGTGCCAAACGCCAAACGCGATGTCCAGGCGCAAACTTGGGAGCAGACCGCAGCACCTGACTGCAATCCAAGGTAAGCAGCGGTGTGTGGGTACGTTGAAACTGCTCTCTGGCGGATGTTATGTTGTTTTAAGGTTAAATTAAAAATAAACTCAGCTCACAGGTTAGTTTCATTTGGTTTACACGCATGGTTTTAAATCCGCGCTGTTTATCAATGAATGGATGTTATTTATTTAATCTAGAAACTAAAAAGCATCCATGACGGGGTTAAAGTATATTTGTGTACACATTGACCTCAATATGGATGTATTTTAATATCCTTTTAACTAAATATTTAAATAAGGGCTCATCTTTTCTTGTGATGTTTGTCCTCATGTACTGTTGCTGCAGTCTTGCTCATAGAGGAAGGACCGGTTTATTGGCACGCTGTTTTCAGCATAGGCTACAGGTCCGAACACGATGATTAATATCTCAGGTTAGACCATGATCAAGTTTCTCGGTCGGTCTCTGTTGGCTTCTGTGGAGCAGTTTCCCTCCACTGACTCTTAACCTGTTCAAATCCTGGATTCATGCTGCTTTATTCTATATTTTAATATAAATATTTAGAAAATTAAAATAATGTTTTAAATAAAACTACTGTATAATAGATCAAATGCAGACTTTTTAAACATAAAGAGAACAGTGGAGCTCCAAAAGAAACATGTGATGCTTGAAGGGAAATAAGAGAGAAACTTGGACACCATTTGTTTTTTTACAGTTGGAGGCCAGTGGTGCGTGTCTACTGTGACCACAGGCCCTGTCTCAACTCTAGCGTGTGTGTGTGTGTGTGTGTGTGTGTGTGTGTGTGTGTGTGTGTGTGTGTGTGTGTGTGTGTGTGTCTGTGTTTGAGAGAGTGAGTGTGTGTGTGTGTGTGTGTGTGTGTGTGTGTGTGTGTGTGTGTGTGTGTGACCGCGCCTTGCAAGTCTGCACAAACATCGCAGCCCTGAAACAGGAAAGGTGACATTTTTGACTAACAACTGGCGAGATCCGACTTCAGACTGTACTGTCTGTACCTGTCCTGTATGTTTGCCGGCCTCGCGGGGGCAGGTGGATCCAGTTGAGGCATCAAGGTGTGCCCTTGACCGCATTGAGTAACACTGAACCCTCCCACTGCTTTAACTTATACACCTGTCTGCAGACTGGAAGCATTTCAAAGTCCTCCCTCTAACTTATTGATATTCATCAGATTGTTGAATCAGATGAGCTGTTATGTATGTTTCTGAGCACACACAGGGGCCGCTCTTATCTCAAACACCTTCAGTCGTTTTTTTCTTTTATTGCAATCCACTTCCTGTTGAGAAACTCCCGCTGTCTGTGGCTGGCAGGGCAAGTTATGTTTGTGACTCAAAGGTGAAAGCTTTGGTCATAATGTTGTGTCTTTAAATCCATAACCTCACTTGTGAGCACATGAAGACTGTCACATTAATCTGAGGTGGATGTTTCTGCCGAGATGGGCAGCTCGGCTCCTTTCTGCAGCAGTGAGAGCGAGCGGATCTGTTTTGGGTTGGTTAAAGGAAGTGGTCAGTGTTGGCTGAGCAAATTGTCCTCATTGCTTTGGAGCTTACAACTGAAACTAGCACTTGCAGTCACCAAGCCTGTTAGTTTACTGAGGTCTAACAGAGCTTTCTCTTATTTGGGTTGTTCATTTGTAAGAGCATGGCCAGAAGCTCCTTAGAAGAAATCCAAATAAATATCACACTTTTGTTGAAGTTAATGTGGATCTTTTTCGTATGGGTCTGTACATTTTTTTTTTTTTTGTGGAGAAAGTGGGAGAATAATGTCAAAGATTTGGTTTGGTATGGATTGATCCCTCTGCATTTAAGTGATATGGCTAAAAGAAAGGTGATGTGTGTGGAAGTTTTTTCTTTCAAGACTGCGAGTAATAGGCTTCATAGCAACCACTCGTTTGTGGACACCACCAACTGTACGCTGCATGGAAATGATAAATGACACCCATGGACTATAGATAGACAAGGGTGAAAAACACTGAATGAAGAGAGTGTTGCAATAAATATACAGACTCTATTTCAGATTAACCGTTTGTTCTGTTAAATATCAGAGTGGAAAAGGCCAGCAAGACCAAGTTGATATTAAATGTCTTGTTTTGTCCAACAAAAAGTACAAAATCCAATGAGAATTTCAAAAACCAAAATTCCCTTCACAGCTTGAAATCTAAACAATGAAAAATGAATCCCACACTAAAGGGAAAGTGTTGAAATGTCTGTACTGGTCATGTTTGGCACTGTTTAAAGTAAGTAAATACATCTTATCTCTGTTGTTAATTGAACTTTCTCTTGTGGTTCTCAGATGTCACTGATATGGCGGATGGCGTCCCTCCATCAGACGTCCGGCCTCCTCTTCCTCCTCCTCCTCCACCTCCTCTTCCTCCTCGACAGGTCGGAGCTCCTGGTGAAGGTCGTGACCTCCTGACCTGCGGACAGTGCAGTCGGGCCTTTCCCCTCGCCCACATCCTGGCGTTCATCCAGCACAAACAGGGCGGCTGCCGTTCCCAAAACCAAGCCCCAAACGCCAACGCCACGCCCCCCTCACCTGCCAACCGAGCGCAGCACCGCGGGGCCAACGCCGAGCTGGGGCCCGGCTACATCGAGCTGAGGAGAGGCGGGGGGGCCTGGGAGGAGGAGCCCGGCGTGAGGGTGAAGGCGGAGCACAGCAAAGCAGGTGAGCGTTCACGTTGAAGCACAACGAGAAGGCAGGTTGCTAATTAGTGACTCTGTTTTTTGTTTTGTTGTATTTTTTTTTTCTTCAACTACCCTCCTCTGCATTTAACAACTGTTCCCCCCCCCCCCCCCCCCNCCTCCCCCCCGAGTCCAGCTCATTAGCTAGCCGTTGCCATTAGCAGACCTGCCTGAGTTAGTGACGCACAGGCTAATTGTGTAGAAAGGATAGGCGTCAGGAGCGTTCAGAGGGCACCCAGGGTCCCCGAGGGCCCCACACGGAGCACCTGAGCTCCTCCTCATCTCCCTGACTGTCAGTCTCTGAGGTGGAGTGGCCAGGTAAACATGTTTCCCTCTGTCCTGCGCTACACCCTGGACCACAGAGACTGAGACAAAGTCCTCCAGCACAAGAGCACGATTCACTGATTTATGGCAGATGATGGTTGTAGTCGTGTGCCACAACATGAAATGGTCAGAGCGGCGGATGCAAGGTTTTTGTTTTGCTGCTCTCCTCGCTGTCATGACACTATAATGAAGGACGTTGCATCATGTGCAACTCCTCTGCCATCTCCCTCTCTTCTGCCCCGGGCCGAGCCACCTGAGCTCCTGGGAATCTCCTCCTTCCTGCTCCTTTTTCTTCATCTCATGCATCTTTCTTTCTTTCTTCTTCCCATGTTGTCGTTACCATCCTTCTCTTGTAGTTCTATGTATCAGAAATCCGCAGATCTTTTTCTAAAGGTATTTTTTCACACGTACTCTGCTGCTGTTCCTCCGAGAGAAGAAGAGTGCGGCCACTGTGATGGTCATGCCAAATATGTCACAGTGGAAGTCAATCAGCAGTTCATGAATTCCAAATGATAATCCTTTTGAATCTCACATCTGATGGCTAACTGCTGTGTTTGATATGGAGGATAGTAGTTTTTTCCTGCTCAGGTCAGATACATTTCAGTTTACCGTTGTATCTCTGAAGTGGAATAGGGGCGTATGCAGGATGCCTGCAGATGGACAGCGCGTCTTGCAGCACGCTCAGGGTAGATATGAATGCCCCATTGCACATTTTGAAACCCTCTCTGTCATGTAGACACACGTTTGCAGTTCCTTCCTTTGTGTAACGCTCAGGGGACTGGTGCACGCACCATTTCCGTCTGTCCACAACCTCATTTTTGTTTTTCTATTTCAGTCAGTCTTTCATCTCTCGCTCTGTATGTCGGAGAACACAAGTTTGGTAATTTTGTGCCTGCAGGATTATAAAACAAACCTAACACGTGCACTCGGCGAGGGGGAAAGATTAGGACAGCTTGTGAATAAGGAAAAAGCCGATAAGTTTTAATGAAAGTTTTATGTAGGTTGCAAATGTTGGGAGTTGGTAATTGCGATTTCCCCCAGCTTTTACAGTTTTATCAGATTTGATTTTTTTTTTATGTGAAGTTTGAATTCATATATTCTAAGTAGCAAATGGACAGTTTTAATTGGGCGATTTACAGCTTTATCAGTTATAAGAAGTCTTGTTGTTTTTGAGGAGGCAAACTTAGCTTCTGAGATGACTGAAAGAGTAAGAGAAGTCATCCCACAACAGAAAAGTCCTGCATCTATTTTCTGCATTCGAGACAGAAGAGGATGGGGGAGAAAAGGGAGTGGGATGGATTACCGCAGATCCTCGTGCATCTGTCTCATTCCTTTTTATTTATTCTCCTTGTTTGTTTTTTTTTCTCATCTCCA